AGTTAATGAGTAATATCTAAGCTCAAGGGGGGTGTTTAAACCCCTAAACCCCTCCCTTGCGTACGCCACTGGGAGGAGCAGTGGTTCGAATCCTGGTCGCGGCCATTTTTAAAAATTAGATTTAAGAAGAATTTTTTTTAAATGTATAACATTTTAATATAAATAAAATATTCATTTACTTACTTTTATTTCAGTAAATTGTGATAAATGCATAGAAGATTGAAAATTTTTGCTCATGTACTGCATGCAAATAATGCCCCATATTTCCCCTAAGTATTAACTTATAATTTTCAATCTCGGTCATATATTGTACTTTATTATAAAATATACTACTATACCAAGCGAAATAATTATACGCAAATTACGGGCCTCAGAATGGAGCATTACTTGGTCCCCTCGACAAACAATAGAAATTACTTTTAAAAGCTTGTTATAAGTTTGTTACCCAAATGAACGTGTAGGATAAAGTGATTTGAAGTATCAAATTACTAGTCCCGATGATCCGTGCTTCGAAATCCGACCGTGGTCAATTTTTAAAAATTATATTTAAGAAATATATTATTTTTTATTTATTTCACAATATCTTAACGTAATTAAACCTTTACCTATTTGTATTACTGTTTTTAACTGCTTTTATAAAAAGTGATTATAAATTTGAAAAGTTTTGCTCATGTACTATATGTATATACAGTGGTGACCAAAAGTGTGGGCACTTTTTGAAAGTTTCAAGTTTTTGAACTTTGTGCGCTTGTAAAATATATTAATTTTCACTTAAATAAAAACGTTTATCTATCAAATTGAAGGTAATTTAATGTAGAATTTAATAATAAATACAGTATTACAACATCTGTATTACAAAAAAAGTTACGCAACTATTAGTAAGATCTATCTTATATATGCATTTCTTTAAAGTGATACTTACACAATCAATACTTAGTAGGATAACCCTTATTTTTTAAGACAGCTTCACAGCGTGTTTTCATCGAGTGAACGAGTGTTTGGAGTTCATCTTTAGTAATCACATGGTGCCAATAATCAATTATAGCTACACGTAGTTGTCTTTTATTGGATGGACGTTTTTCTCGTACAAGAATTTTCAAACGTCGCCACAAATGTTCAATTGGATTGAGATCAGGACTGTTTCCTGGCCATGGTAATATATCCATGCCTTTATTTTGAAAGCATGCTTTACATACTTTTGCTGTGTGGCATGCAGCTGAATCCTGCTGAAAAATAAATGGTGCGTTGTTGGGGAAGAGATCCCTGATGGAAGGTATTAATTTTGGTTTCAGGACAGTTTCGATGTATTTTTTGGCATTCAGGATGCCAAATCAGGCCGAAATGCACAAGTGCTACTACCGATAGAAAAATTAAATGGCTATGCCTTTAAGCTAGAAAAAAATCATCAGATGTGAAATGAATGCAGCTGGTATTGCAGTAAGTTCAAGAACAATAAGAAGAAGGTTATCAGGATTTGAACAACAAGCTAGAATTCCAAGGGAAAAACCATATTTAAATCAAAAGCAACGCGAAAAACGAGTTAAGTTGGCAAATGAATACATTAAATAGTCAGATAATCAATGGAAGCAAGTAATCTGGAGTGATGAGTGTAAAATATCGCTCTTTGGAAGTGATGGTAGAAAATACGTGAGACGTAGAGTAGGTGAAGCGCTTCATCCTGATTTCATAGAAGCAACTACAAAAAATCCAACAAATGTCATGATTTGGGCATGTATGTCTGTAGATGGTGTGGGCCGAATTCAAGTGATTGATGGCATCCTGAATGCCAAAAAATGCATCGAAACTGCCCTGAAACCAAAATTCAGGACAGTTCATATTTTCAGCATTCACAATCAGGATCAAGGTCTGCATTTTTCATATTATGAGTAGAATGCAAGCAAAGTAGCACTATTTGGAACAAGCTAACATGGAAGGGGAAGTTAGTAAATTTTTTTTTGGGGGGGGGGATGAATGCGTCCAAGAGCTTGGGGGGGGATGGGGGCCACTGAATCAGTGGTCGCACTATGGGACATAATATGGTTCCCTGGAAAAACTGCAGAAATAAACTCTATTCCTTGTTCGTCACTTTTTTCCTAAAAATATGGCTATGAGAAAAAGTTAAATTAAGATTTTTAACGTTAAATATTTCCTTTTAAAATTCTGAACGTTTTTTCTTTCGCTTTTTATCTAGTATTTTATTTTTTTTTTAAATCTTTCTTTTTTTTGGTATTTCTATTACGCAGCAATTATTCTGTTTAAATTTATTCTTTGAAAACTGAAATGCGTAACTAAAAATTTTTCTTTCGAGATTTAAGATCGATTTTTTTTTCTGTCTTGTTATTTTACATAATCTTTTGTTTTCTGGTCATTTTAATGATAGTACGGTATTTTTATAAGCCTTTCTGGTTAACCATATTTATTTCAATGTTTTATGGATTCTTTTTTTTTTCAGGAAAATATTGTTTTTTCACTTTTTCTATAATTTTTTACTTGTTTTATCACTTATTTCTACAAATATGGCTTTATAAAAAAGTTAAATTAAGATTTTTAACGTTAAATATTTCATTTTTAAATTCAAAACGTTTTTTGTTTAGCTCTCTATCTAGCATTATCTTTTTTAAATTTTTGTTTTTTTCAGCATTTTTATTATGACGCAGCAATTTAAAGGGTTTCTGTTCAAATTTGTTCTTTTTTTTTCTTCTTTTTTTTTTTTTGAAAATCAAATAATTGGAAAACTGAAATGTGAAGCTATAAAATTTCCTTCCCAGATTTAAAATCGATTTTTTTTTTCTGTGTCGTTATTCTACATAATCTTTTGCTTTCATGGTCATTTTTGTGATTTTCATAAGCCCTTCTTATTGACCATATTTCTTTTGACGTTTTATGCATATTTTTTTTCTTCAGAAAAATATTATTTTTAACGTAAAAGTTTTGATTTGAAAATTAAGAAGATTTTTTTTTCTATTTCTTTTTGTCAACTTCACAACTTTAGTTTTTAATAGCTGTTACTCAGTTTTTTTTTATTTTTATTTATTTTAAATACAGAAAAACCTCGCTGGAGCGACCACTCTCCGTTCCACTATAAAATGGCGTTGATGGAGGTTGGTCGTTCTTTGAGTTCTATCGTTATCTCCAGCGACTTCAAAATTGTCATTTAAGTACATGATTTTTCGCCGAATATTTGATTCTCGGCCAAATCACTAGTATTAAATTTGCTAATTATTATTCATTACAAAGTTTTAAATATTTAAATGCAACCGAAATATGTTTAAAATATCTATAAAGAAAAAGTATTAGACTTCAACTTTGAATTTAACCTCACTTCAATCAGACGATTTCGAATTTTTGAACACCCCCATGGAAAAGTTATACCTAGGTGCTTGAAAAAGCTTAAGAGTTTTTGATATCATTTTAAAATGGGAAGGGAAAAAACAGTTTCCCATATATATAGTATAAAATATATATATATATAT